AGTTTCCGACCGTAGATCCAAGGAGCGGCCCGAAAACCAGGGCTCCTCCTGAGTGGTCACTTCTAGGCTGCAAGACGTGGCAGAGAAAGAGAGAGAGAGAGAGAGTGAGTGTGAGAGGGAGGGAGAGAGAGAGAGCGGGCAAGAGAGGCAAGGTGTGCAGCAGTCGCTGCAGATAGGCAAGCGGATACTGCAATCGACCAGTGACCTCACATGTCATGGAATGGTAAAGGAGATACGCTGGTTGCTACGCCCCCCCCCCCCAAACAAGGCTCGCTTTTTGTCGTGCCTCCTCCACCCTCTCTGGAGTGTACAATCGGGATAGTCGGTACAATGTGATACGATGTGTGCGTGAACCCTTGAAACAAAGCGAGTGGTCTGAGAGCGTGAGGGGTTGGCCAGCAGGTACATCAGGATCTTGTTGACATCAGAACGAGACCTCACGTCGTTAAAGCTGTGGATGCCTGCCATTCCACATTTCCATGCAGTGAAGGGCTGCAAGTTTGACCTCCCAACCTCCTATGTGGTGGGGCTGGATGAAGGGGGCCCGCTCTTCCGCTGCACGCTCCGCCATACCTTTGCGTGATAGCTGTATGGCTGGAACTGAGCGGGTGTCGCGAGGTAGATTTGGGCACTCTGCGATCATTGTCTACGAAGCCCGGTGGCTAGGCATCCGCGTGACCGGTAAATCAACGGTCGTGTCCTCGCTCCTCGTCACCACCCTCCTTTCGTCCTTGTCGCAAGGTCACAATCAATGTTGCCCTTCTCAAGTGTCGAATCGGAGAAGCGGCAATCGCCGAACTCGGTACGGATAGCTCTGGGTAGCGCAGAAGGAAAGAAGCAAAGGTGTGGGTTAGAAATGCTGCGCAAAGCCATCTTAAGCGCTCGAAATCTTGGTCAACAGGACCTGAGCTACCCATTACTCTACGCGATTCCTTGGCCTTGTGGGTGACGGTCGCCCGCAGCCAGGGCAACCCTCTCGGTGGCGGTGGCCAGGTGCAACGGCAGACAGGATTTTCCGGTGAAAAAAGCGGCCAGCCGCAAAACGCAAAGACAGCCAGGACGCTGAGGAGAACGGGGAAAAACAAGAAGACTCTGACTTCCTGCGCGCGATTTGCTTCAATGCGTGCGGTTCTTGATCTCCCAGCCCCCATCTTTCATAGATTTCAAGCAATGTTTTCTTTTAGTCGTCGACCACGGGGGCCCGAAACGGGCCTCCCGAGGCCCAGACTCACAACAGCTAGCGGTCCTGATGTTGTTCGGAAGATCTGGGGTTACACCTTCCTCGTTTTCCTCCTCCTCCTCCTCCTCCTCATCATCATCCCTCCTCCTCCCTCCTCCTCCTCCCTCCTCCTCCTCCTCCTCCTCATCCCTCCTCCTCCTAGCCCTGATTTGTTCGGGTCGCTGGGCCCTGGAGCACACGAGCAAGCACATGACTCATTCCTTTGGGTCCCGAGAGGCCCTGCGGCGGCACGGCGCCGAGGTGCTCTGCGAGCTGCCCGGTCAGCTGGCAGATGCTCAGCTGAAGCGGATCGCCTCTGGCCGGCGGCGGGGATGAGGAGAGCAGAGGGCAAGTCCAGGAGGTCTGGAGATCTCCCAGGGCCGAAGAAAGAGCAGGAAGATGTTGTTTTCTCCTCCTTTCCCTCGTCGTCCACGCAACATCAACCACAGCAACACGATCGTACAGTTGACGTGAGATGGAGTACCGCCGGACAATCTGGGAACGCCACACACGAAACCAACCACATCAAAATGCAAACGGGAGGAGGAGATACATGTTGCTGTCTGCAAAGAATTGGCCTGAAGGTTCGCTCGCTTGGCCAAGATCGACCCGAACGCCCCGGAAGCGGTGCACAGGAATCTCTCTGTGCATGAATAGGGTCAAGAGGGGAGGAGGAGCGGAGGAACAGGAGAGTGCCCATGTAAGTGAAAGCGGCAAGGGGTGTTGCGCTTAAGCCCTTGGCGCCCCCAAGCGGCCAGTATTGACACCCAACGCCTAGTACTAACATTCAACACCTAGCACTAACACTAAGATTCAACAACTTGGCAGGAGGAGAGAGTGGAGGGAAGGACGGAAGGAAGCGAATCAACGCCTGCCAGGCCTGACTACGGAGGCTAGGGGTGGGGGTTGGCTTCGTAAATGTTTAAACCAAGAACCACCCCCACCCGCAGCCAGGACCCCCTGGATCACCAGGTCGGTAGTGGGTGCCTTGGCGGGGGTGGGGGTGAGCAGTGCTGTTCCCAAATCGAACCCGGTTTTCAGCGACGGCCACGTGAGAAACGGCATGAACAACATATTGTTTCAGAGTCTTGACTGTGCCTCCGCCCCCCCTCCGCTTGAGGCCTCCAGCGTCCGCCACGTCGGGCGAGGCGCCCGCCGCGTCGCGCGCACCGCCGCGGCGAGTGACGGTCGCGGCGGCGGCCGCGGCGGCCTGCTCTCTCTCTCTCTCTCTCTGGGGAGGGTCACGGCCCCGAGACGGCGGCCTGCATCGAACAAGGAAGCCTTGGAATAGGCCACACGGTGAGGGCGTTGCAGCAGCGTTGCACAAGGAGCCACTGAATAAGGAATCCAGGGACTGGAATGCCGGTGGAGCACAGCGTGAGGCTTGGCCATGGATGTCACCACTGCCCTCATCAGATAAGGAGTCCTCCAGGGTCTGAAGCCTCGAGGTCCGCGGAGACTTCTTGAGTCGGCGCTGGCGCCCCTTGCAACGGCAACGTCGGAGGCGCCGCCAGGGGGGTCCGGCGTCGACGGGAGAACTGCGGGGACCTCCGATCTTCTTCTCTGAGGATAGGAGAGGACGGCACTGCAGGCTCGCGTCGTGCTGCTGACTCGCGCGCTGGTTTCTGACACCGCGTGGATCTTTCGATCTCGCAGACATTGCAGCTGCCCGATTGCTCGCATCGTTTGATGTCGGTCGATTCGGCACCACTGTCGGGCGTTCGGCCGTGACCGCCCGCGCTAAATTCGCCGCTGCGTCAGCACGACGCGGTCCTACAGTACTGCCAGTTAAGCCACAAAGAACCCTCGAGGTATTCTTCGGCTGCGTCTTCCTCCTGATCCCAGAGGCAAGAGGATGAGGCATACTCTGGATGAACAAACACATGTAGAAACATAAACGTTCGGAGCTCTGCACGGATCTCTTGAAACGGCCGTGGACCCCCTCCCTGGCACGGAGCGCGCCAGGGGCGGCGCCGGAGGCGCCGCCAAGGAGGCCCAACGCCGATCCAAGAAATCCGCGCGGAGCTCAGACAAATAATTCGTATGCCGATTATTTGACGGATGAGGCATACTTTCGATGAAACAGAAGGCAAGAGTGGTCACTATCGACTCGGGACATCGGCTCGAATCGGCATGAGCCGCGGCTCGGAGGATGGGCCGCGCCAGATGCGCAACAGCGTCGTGCGAGCATCGGGCCTCATCGGGCCGTCTGAATATCGGAATCGCATCGGCTCGGGCCAGCTGGAATCGATATCTGCTCGGACCCATCGGGGCGAAATGGACCCTGGGAAGGGCTTTCGACGCGGGCAGCTGCAGAGCGACGAGGAGAGAGGTGGCCCCTCTTCGTCCTCTGCTTGCGGCGCGGCGCACGACACTGGAAGGGCGGGGGAGGGCGTCGGAGGAGAAAGAGCATACCGATGCCGATGCCCTCCCGTCGTCTTCGCCCCTCTGGGGCCCTCTGGGTATAGGAGCGGCGAAGCACGTGCGTGAGCACAGCCTTTCGGAGGGCCCCGCAGGCTTCGTGGCTCGGCGCTGGACCCCCTCCCTGGCGCGCCAAGCGGGGCCGGAGGCGCCGCCAATGGAAAAGGACCCCCTTATCCAGCGCTGGACCCCCTCCTCAGCGCCGACCAAAAGAAGTCCGCGCGGACTACCGAGAGCGCACGCATGTGCCTTGGAAGGCCGTTTCGAAGCTTTTCGAGCGGGGCGCGGCCAACGCAAGTGGCCAAGGGTGGACCGAGGAGGCAAGGATGCCAGGGTGCCCTTGGGAAGGTTGCCCATCCTTACCATGCGGTTTTACCGTACCCCCCCCCGCCTCCTCTCGGAAGGCGAGGGGTGCAGATCAGACCAGGCCTGTTCGGCGACTCCAAAGGGTGTGTTTTGCAAAGGGTGTGTTTTGCAACCCGCACCGTGTGGAACATCCAGGGGGGCATCCGAGGGGGCGCGCGGGGACTTCGATAGAGTTCTCCCGCGCCCTGAGGAGGCCCGACGAGGACGGTGTCGTGCTCCCCCAGCCCCAACGGTGCCGATCGCAAACCACACCCCGGCGTAACCGTACCCTTTGTAGTCGCCGACGTGTGCCAGCGGCGCCATCGTCTCTTCGGTGGGACGATGCCTCGCCGCCGCGGCCGCACTCACCTCGGGATCCCGCCACGGAGGAAACGGGTGGACCTCGGGGCCCCCCCTCCCAGGACCAGCTCTTCCGCTGGAGCCGTTTGCGGACAGCCCAGGGGCACCTGGAGGGCCCCGAGAGCCCGAACGCGGCGAGAGACCGCAGGAGGAGGATAAGGGAGGAGGAGGAGGAGGAGGAGGAGGAGGAGGAGGAGGAGGCGGAGGAGCAGGAGGAGGAGGCATGGGAGCAGGAGGAGGCGGAGGAGCAGGAGGAGGAGGCGGAGGAGGTGGAGGAGGAGGCGCGGAGAGGCGGAGGAGCAGGAGGAGGAGGCGGAGGAGCCGGAGGAGCCGGAGGAGCAGGAGGAGGAGGCGGAGGAGGTGGAGGAGGAGGCGGAGGAGGAGACGGAGGAGCAGGAGGAGGAGGCGGAGGAGCAGGAGGAGGCGGAGGAGCAGGAGGAGGAGGCGGAGGAGGTGGAGGAGGAGGCGGAGGAGGAGGCGGAGGAGGTGGAGGAGGCGGAGGGAGGAGGGAGGATGGAGGAGTGAAGAGGGAGGAGGTGGAGGTGGACGGGGGGGGAGGAGGGAGGACGGAGGGCGGCCAGAGCGCGCCCCGGGGAGTCTGGGGAACAGCGGTCCCTGGCCCTTTCTGATCTCCGCCCGGGGGCCAGGAGCGAGGCAGGCGGTCGTCTGAGCAGCCACACGAAAAGGGGCCCTGGGACACACACACACACACACACACACACACACACACACACACACACACGCACGCACGCACGCACGCACGCACGCGCGCACGCACGCACGCGCGCACGCACGCCGCACGCACGCACGCAAGCACGCACACACACACACACACAACACACACACACACACGCACGCACGCACGCACACACGCACGCACGCACGCACGCACGCACGCACGCACGCACGCACACACGCACACACACACACACAACATACAACACACACACACACACGCACACACACATACACACACACACACACACACACACACACACACACACGCGCACACACACGCACACGCACACACGCACACACACACACATTAATACACACATTAATACACACAATCCCAAGATTCCCCAATTTCCCCCTACTTCCTGGGTCTTCGTCTTCCCCCCCTGACTTCCCGTATTTTCCCAAACATATTTGTATATATATATATGTATTATGTACACACACATATATAAATATAAATAAATACTCCTGGGAGCCGAAGACTACTTGTGTCTGTGTGTTGTTCCCCTCCTGATCCCCCCCCAGCACACGTCCTCTCGGAAGGCGCGGGGTGCAGGTCAGGACAGGCCCGTGCGGACACTTCCTCGTGGCGTGCCGCCACGGAGGCCCCAGCAGCACACCATGCCTTGGCGAGCGGATAGCGGTGTCGCTCCGCTCCGCGGGACGGGAAGCTCGGAAAGGCTCGGGACGTTGACGCCTGGGGGGCCCGGAAGTGGATAGGTAGCGTGTCGCGCCGAAACGCGGTGGGCCAGAACCGGCGGAGCGACACGCTATCCAGAGGTTTCCCAGCAGTACCCAGCCTCGAGCCCATATTCACCCCAAAGATTGACATGCCCAAAGCATCGAAGCGGTGAATCGGAACGAATCGAACTGTGCATCGGATCGGGCGGCACCGGCAAGGCATCGAGATCGAAAAAGGATCGGCTGCGCCAGGAGGCACAACAATGCCATGCCGTCACCGGACCGCATCGGACCGCCAGAACATCGGAATTGAACCGCATCGGGCCAGTCAGAATTGATATCTGGGGGCACCAGATGGTACCGATGCCGCTCCTCCCTGGACCTCTGCTGGGGTGCGTCCTGACCAGGACTTCGAGGCCACGGCCGCAGCTCGGATCCAGGGCGCCGCCGGTCGAGGAGTGCACCGCAGGGGCCCGACCACAAGGGAGAGGGCCGGATCCAGGTCCACGCCCTCGCGGTCTGGAGTCCAGGGCGCGATCCCGCGGAGACGCAGTCGCACGGACACGTTCCGCGCGGGGCACCCGCGAGAGGACTCCCCGCAGCCATGGGATCGAGGCCAAGGGGCCCAGCCCGCGAGGCCGTGGATATGGATATGTTTCCCTCCCGTGGTTGGGCCTGACTCGAAAAACAGTAGAGGCCAGTCAACAAGAAACCTCCCACAAGAAACCCAGCCCTGAGACCCCAGGGCGCCCGTTGATTTCTGACGTGGAAGCGTCACGCCTTCCGCGGCAAAACTATCGAAACCCGGGAAACTGAGGGCACCCTCGAGGCAAGCAGGGTGTCTCTTGGCATGGGCCTCCACTGTAGCCGCGACCGCAACCTGGATCCGAGGCGCCGCCGATCGAAGAGCGTAGAGCCGGCCCGCATCAGAAGGATGCGCGAGAAAGATGCAAGGGCCGTGGACGCCCACGTCGAAGCTGTTCGAGCGGGGCGCGGCCAACGCAAGTGTTTTTTTTTTCTCCTGCCCCACTCTCTCCGACCGCGCCGCTGACAGAATGCAAACATCTAGCTGTTCATGCCCGACAGCTCCGCTGACGGTGGAGGCCAGGTGCGCAGGCTTCGTCTCCTCGTCGGCGCGGCCAACGCAAGCAGTGGGCACGCCCTGGGGAAGGCTGCCCATCCTTGCTGTGCAGGTCGAGTGCACCCAGCTCGCGCTCAGGCCGGCCGCGCCGTGCACGTCTCCAGCCTCCCGGGTGCCTCTGGCTGCCGCCCTCGAGCCGCCGCTCCTCCCGCAACGCCTGCCCGGAGGCGCCCCCCCCGTTTAAAAATAATTCTAAAACATAGTCTGGGGACGATTGGATAGATTTGTTCCTATGTTTGGCGATTCTGGACTTCTTGCTGCATGTGTTCTGAAGCTTCTTCCCAAAATCCCCCCGCTAGGAGGACATCCCCGACCCAAACTCTGGGAGGGCCGCTCCCGTCCCCCTGCCCCCCGTCTGCGAGCCTCCGGGGCCCTAGAACCGTGGGGTGTCGAACCGCGCGGTGGCCTCGGGATCCCCCCAGGGGCCACACCGCGCGGCCCGTCACCGCGCGGCGTTGGGAGCCCTCGGGTCGGGCGAGAAAGGGGGGGATAGCAAAGGGGGGGTTTGAGAATCAGCTCACGTAGCTGACTTTCCCGGCGCCTCCCGGCGCCGGAGGCGACTATGTATCGAGGAATGGGCCCCATCGGTGGGGCC